AACCGGACAGAAAGATGATAGGGCGTTCTGGGTAGCGAAACCTCTGCATGTCGATCAGGAAGGTGATAACGGTCAAGCTAGTTGACACACAGCACAGCACTGCCCACAGTCCGAGCCACAGCGTAGCGAAAGTGTGTTCGTCGGTAGAGAAGAAGGCACCATGGCAAGGGACAGCACAGTTCAATACACTTCCAGTCTCTACTTTGTTGTAATAATTCCTCTCGTTACTTTCTAGTAGAGGCACCATCGGTGAGCGACACGAGCACCCACAATCACTTGTGCCAGTTTCTGGCAGAGATGGGGAATTTGGATTAGGTTTGGACTGAATAGGGACGTCCGGCACATCTTCAGGCCACTTACCATGTCCAGGGATCTGAGCTTTCATGCCTGTTGGTAGTTTAATTTCTGGCAGAATGAAAGATGATTTGGGTTTAGTACTACCACTTCCTTCCTTTTCGTCCATGCAAAGATTCTTGGGATCTCCATAGTTAGGCAAGCCTTCACAGTTCATTCTCTCGGGCCATGCGAATCCGTACTGCCTCATAATGGGAGCACAACCGGCTCGTGATCGTTCACAGACAGACCGACACGCAGGGAGTGAGCTGTGGTAGTCCTCCATACAGATAGGTGTGTACATCGAGCAGAGTAAGAAACGCAGATCATCGGAACACTGAATTTCCACCAAAGGCCAGAATTGCTGCACTTCCATTCCCGCCTCTTCCTGGGTGTCGTGGTAGAACTGGTTAGGCATGGAAGTGTAGTTGTAGCCAATGTTTCTACACATTGGTATAGTGATTTCTTCACACTTTAGGTTTCTGTCAGATGTACACGCGACGTTAGCTGCCAGGAACACGAGCCCTAGAAACCTGCTCACTCCCTTCGGGGTAGTGGCCTGGAATTTGGAAGAACTCCCAACTGACGGAAACTTGAAACTTTTCTTTTTAAAATGAAACATATTGCTCCGACCATAAACGAACTTTGAAATAAAAGTTGAAGCTAAAAAAAGTAATTTTCATCAACGATCACTGTGATGTTTCGCAAAACCACCCAACTATAGTTAAGTTAAAAAGTTCCTTCTTTTCTGATAACGACAGTCGTCTAAGATTAAATCCAACCTCTTGTACGTGGTGAGTGAGTGATTGTGTCCTCGGTGCAAGCGACCCGCTTTTCTGCACACAGATCAAGACTCCTGACAGCTCTACTACTTGTCAGGGCGCTATTCATGCATGAAGATTACGTCGACGTCATCGCCCAATAGCCAATCACAAACCGCTTCAGGCAGCAAGTCCTCCATTCACGCACGACAAGGTGTCGTTCAGGGATAGTCTCCGTCTAGAACACCAGAGAAACGAAAATAATAAATCAAATATATTTTTCAAAGAAACTTTTCATTGCATCTTTCATTAGTTTAGGTAATAACAAATATTATTGTTATGTATTCAGATATCAATTTCCAACTGCTTGCAAGAACATTACAAACTTTGACACTAGAAGGCAGTAGGATACGTTGAAAGTATCAAAACAATGTCACGTATTTGTAGCTATAATGGAATAAAAGAAACTGAATGCTAAGATACTCACCGGTTCAGGAATTAAAGTTCATTTACTAGTTATATAAGAATGATGAAACTCAGGCTGTCGCGGGGGGTGGGGATATTATTCTGGGAAACTTATTAAGCTGTCTTTCGTTAATATCAATTCATTTATATTCTCTTTTTTACTTCGTCCCCCGTTGACTCAGCGGTAAGCTTAAGGGTTTACAACGCTAAATTCCGGGGTTCGATTCCCCGTGGTAAACTGAAGAACGCAGAGGGTCCATTGTGTGGCTATGCATTCAAAATAAAACAGTACAATTTGGGTTTCCATTCTTTGCGGTGAACAGCAAAATTCACACGGCCAATTGTGTGGCTTCGCATTTACAGCAATAAAATTCGCGGTTCGATTCCCCGAGGTGAGCAGAACGCAGATGGCCCATTTTGTGGCTTCGTATTTACAACGATAAAATTCGAGGTTCGATTCCCCGTGGTGAACAAAATGGAGATGGTCCATTGTGTGGCTTGGCACTTAAAACAAAACAAACTTTTTTGTTTGTCTTTGCCTCTCTTTTTTTTTCGGTAGGAATGGATGGACGGATTCGTTAGCACTGAAAAAGCGTAGAGTTGTGTTATAAACTTAACATTAGCGTGTGATCTAAACTCTTCTGCTAGTTCACTTTATAATCTGAACTTCCAAAAAGAAGGGGATTCTGTTGAATTCTGTTGCCTAATTGCAGGCTCCTCGTCATCAACTCGAATCACAAACTGCCAACAGTGATAATTCTACCGTAGCGAATGGAGCTTATGATGATGATGATGATGAGATTGGAATTAATCGATATAATTCATCATCCACACTCCCTTTAAAAGTCCAGATTATAAAGGGAACAGTATTTTTTTAAATATACTGTATTTGAATTTCTTCGACGCTTCTTCCAGTTCTCCGCTACCCAAGTCTGTTGTACTGAGTCCTAATTCAGAATAAATAGACTTGTGAGGCGTCAAGCCCACATCATTATGAGAGCTCTATTGTCAAAATGTCCACAAGGGAGAGGGGGGGAGGTAAGCTCATTGAATTTATACAAAGAACGAGGTGTGAAGATGGGGTGGCCTGCCGCGAGACAAGTCCGACCCCCACTGTGGTAGCACAACACAACCATAACGGGCGTAAGGCCTGCCCCGGGACCGTGTGTGCCCCACAAGTAACAAAGAACGTTGGACATGTGAATGGGTTTGAGGAAATTAGAATGTTTCTCGATAAGCGAAACGTACTCTGCTCGAACAATATGACCATTGCTTATATCATAGACTTCTCTCCTTGAATGAAAGAACTTTCTCTCGACGTTGAGACCAAAGTACGATACTCTTATTAACAGAATATTTCTTCAAATATTCATTATTTTAAGAAAATACCAGAAAAAATGTAACTTAGTAGAAATTCTTCCAAACTTTTAAAAAATATTGATATATTGTGATATGGTTTCAAGTATGTATTTATTACATTTAACGGTACGTTAAACTGGCAATATACCTGTACGTATTTATTACATTTAACGGTACGTTAAACTGGCAATATACGTATTTATTACATTTAACGGTACGTTAAACTGGCAATATACGTATTTATTACATCTAACGGTACGTTAAACTGGCAATATACCTGTACGTATGTATTACATTTAACGGTACGTTAAACTAGCAGTATACCTATACGTATTTATTCAGTATGCTTGCCAAAAAAAAAAGCTAAGTTTGAAATGATATTAGACGTGGATATCTTCCATATATGTTATGATGCAGGTATTTTATGTTATATTACATAT